CAAGTCATGGATGAGGGAAGATTTATTGTTGGCCAACCTGGCATTGAGCAGCAGCACCGTCAGGCCCGAGGGGTGGTTGACAAGACTACCTGGAACCCTCTGGCTGGGGGCAAAACCAGAAGGAGGGACAGGTGTCAGCCATCTGTCCTTCCTTCTTCTATGTGGACACGTTAAGCCCCCACCACTGTAACGTCCATTGCCCATGACCACCCCAATGGCGGCGCCCACGCACTCCCCAGGAAACACAAACGTCGACATGGCCAGGGACGACTCCATAAAAACAAATTAAAAACAAATTAAAATACAATAAAATTATCAAAACAATCAAAAGCTCCCCATTTTCCTCGGCAGTGCGCCCCAGTCCGGCAGCAGCGGCAGCGACGGCGACAGCGTGGCGAGGTAGGTGGTCCGAGCCGTGGGGAGTGGCAGATGTTCGGGGGGAGAGGGAGCTCCAAGCCAGTCCAGCCCCAGGCCACGTCCGGCGGGTTAAGCCGGCACCCGCCTGCGCGCCCCGTCCAATCCGGCATTGCTCTCACCGGCACCGGCAAGGGGGGCAGCAGGGAGGGGCACGGAAACCCATCCAGCGACAAGATGGCGGCGCCCTCCTCCGCGCCGTCGGTGGCGTGCCCGGTGTGCCCCTGGCGTCCTCTGTGCCCAGGGTAGCCCAGCGATGGCTGCAGGAGCAGCGTCAGCCGGCCCCCGGCTCGGCGGTGCGCCCTAGTCCGGCAGCAGCGATGGCGACAGCGCGGCAGGTGGTCCAATTAAAACATGGCCCCTGGCCAGCCCAGCCCCCCGCTCGGCCCCTGAATGGCTCCCAAATGGCGGCGACCGCCCTTTGGCCGTCGGCCCCGGCCACCACCTGCGCTTTATGGGCTGCAGGGCCCTCCCCGAGCTCTGCCCCTTCCTGACGCATCTCTCACCCGCGCGTGGGAAGCAGGCCGGAGCCGGGTCCTGGGTCCTGGGCCAGTGTTCCTGGCCTCTGGCAGGGCAGCGTGAAAAACAAAAGGTAACAGAAATACACTCAGAATCCTAAATGTAACTTTTGAATGATTCTCATATAGAGACAAAAGGAACTATTACAATGACCAGTGCAAAGAAATAGAAGAGAATAAGGGAAAAGAGGAAAAGCAAGGGTCCTGTTCCACAAGATCCAGGAAATCAATGGGAAATTCAAACCTAGATTAGGAATGCAGAAAGATAAACAGGGAGACATGCTATTTGACTAGGATAAAATAAAGAGAACATGGAAAGCTATACAGAAGAATGATGCAGAAGGGAGAAAAAGATGACAGATTCCTTTGAAGAGGAATCCTATGAGGACAAACCTACAATATAAGAAAGTTAAGTGAAAGCTGCTCTGAAACTGTTTCCAAGGAATAAAGCAAGTGGAGTAGAAGGGGTACTATTCCAAGCTGCAGGAACTGAATTGTTCCAAATGCTAACAAGAATATGCCAAGCAATATGGAAAACAATGGCATACAGACAACCCCCAAGAAAATAGTCACAAAAAAGTGTACCAACTACAGTGCTATTGCACTAATTAGCCCATGAAAGCAAATTAATGCTCAAGGTGTTGGAACAAAGAATTTTACCCTGTATGAGGCAAGAAATGTCTGATGTTCAAGCTGGATTCTAGAAAGGAAGAGATAATTGAGGTCATATTGCAAATATACATTGGCTACTGGAATGCACCAAATAATAGGATCATCAGCCTATGCTTTATACACCACAGCAAAAACTTTAACGGTGTGGATCACGAGAAACTATGGATGGTCATGAAAGAAGTGGGCATATCTCAGCACTTGATTGTCTTGATGTGCAGTTTGTGTCACAGACAACACATCACATTAGGAGAGAATTACTGTTAAGACAGATTACTGTTCAGATTACTGTTCAGTTAGGACAGATTACTGTTAGGACAGAATACAGAGAAGCATGGTTTCCTATAGGCAAAGGCATCAGACAAGTATCCATCTCCCTATCTATTAAATTTGTATGCAGAGCACACACACCATAAGGAAATCTGGATGAAAGTCAGAGTGAGAACGGGAGGAAGATACCTCAATAATTTAAGATATGCTGATAACACCACATTACTAGCAGAAAGCAGCAATGAATTGAAAAAGCTCCTGATGAAAGTGAAAGCAGAAAATGCAAAAGCAGGACTACAGAAGAACTGTACAACTTTAATGAAGAAAATGAAATGGTGAAAGATTTTGCATACTTGGGCATAATCTTCAATTCAAAGTGAGACTGCAGTGAAGAAATTCGAAGAAGACTAAGACTAGGAAGAACACAATGAAGAAACTAGAAGAGATCATCAGGTGTAAGGATGCTTCACTGGGGACCAAGGCCAAGATCACCTGCACAACTGTATTCCTAATCACTATGTACAGGTGTGAAAGTTGGACACTGAAGAAAATTGATAGAAAGAGCAATCATGAAATGGATCAAGTCCATAAAGGAAGCCAGAGCCTTGCATTTGTAAGAACTGTGCAGGGCTATGAAGAACAAGACATTGTGGAGGCCACTCATTCCTAGGGTCTTCATAAGTCAAAGACCACTTAATGACATGGAACAACAACATCTACTCCCACAGACATAATTATCCATTAAAGCACAGTGCAGTAACTGTTGGGATTACTGCCAGGAGGCTATCATGTTACAACTTCCACAGTGTAATTTCCATCTGTCTCCAGAAGCTGCCTAACCATGGTAGATGCTTACTTTGGGCCTGAACCTGTCTGGGGTGCTGGGCCTACTTAGCAAGATGGTCCAAAGTTGCTTCATATAGATAAATTCATCTCCCTTTAGATTTGTCAGTCCAAAGAGCAATAATAGAAGCAAGCTTGGATACAGTTGTATTAACACAAATGTGACCATTTTACGGAGTGAGTTTCTTCTACATGTGAGAAGCTGCAACTTCCTTTTGCTCATAAAGATGCTCACACAGCAAGCAGACATGGTAGTATAAAGCCAGCTGAACACAAAATTTGAATAAAGTTACAATGATTTTTTATGATTAATTCATTTCAGGGTCCTAGCAACATTCCAGGAATATATGAGTTATTATGAGTGATTTGGGAGATGTATTAGTCCAGTAGCAGAGCATATGTTTTGCAATGACTCTCATTCTTAAACTCAATCATCTCCAAATAAATAATTGTAGACAGCAGAACCCAGGGAAATAGCTGGCTGATGCCCAAGAGAGTAACTGCCAGTCAAACTAGACAGTACTAGGCTAAATGGATCAATGATCAGACCCTGAATAATTCACCTACATACTATGCATGGATGGAGCTTGAGCCATTAAAACACTCTAGTCTGTGCTGGCTGTATCCTTGTACAATGTGCATTATGGTTTCCTCAAATGATAATGGGTGCATTTGGTCAAGTGGCATCACTGTCTTCTGAGAATTTTCTGGACCCCAATTAGCATAACAGCATTACTAGCTTCCACATCCTTTATTTAAGGTTAAACAGACCCATTGGGAGTGACTTGCCCAAGTTCCACCCCTTCAAAATCTGGCACAACAGAAAGAAATGTTGCCTTTCCTTGTGTAGAAGAAACTGCATGAATCAAACCCAGGTATCAGCAGAGAAGAATTTCGTTCAGTTCATATTTTGAATTAGTATCTGAACCAGAATTCACTTTGAAGGGTATTTGCATTTCTCCAGTTTTTATGGTACAGTTCTCTAACATACAAATTGTACTCCCCTCACCAAAAAAAGGAAAAATGTATGCAAAGCTGCATATAAATCAGTGTGAACTTAAAATGAATAAACTGCAAGACCAGATGACAAAATGTCAGAATTAACTGAAGGCTGGAAATTGAGAAACTGAGAGAAACCAAACTGTACACTCTTCCCTGTCTTGAACTACCAGGAAATAAACCAGTCTAAATGACAGCACTGTGGTATATGGCCTAAACTTTAAATAAAATTATAGGCATATGGCAAAAAGGTTATCTTTAAATATAAGTGAAAAATTATATGTTTGCTTTGTGCATAGGGGAAATGACAAAATTTGTGAGCTTCAAGAGTGCAAAGGAAATGTAGCAGAAAACTGGGCAATGTGGCAATAAAACAGGTGTCTAGTTCTAACATCTTCCAACTTTTGTAGCAACAGGTCACAATTTCCAAGGAAACACAAAATTATCCGTGAACAATTCATTTTTATCTGATTCGAAGTAGTGCATGTTTAACTTATTATAGATATTAGGTTGACAGTGACATTTCCTAAAGCTAGAATTTTTGAAGAGTTTTTGGAGTGCAGGTTATTAAGCTTAGATGCTGATAATTTCTTAGATTCAGAGATGTCAAAGAGATTATTTTTATTTAAAGTATTACTATTTTCTTATTTTAAAATACATGATCTATCCTTCGGCTAAAAAGTCATTCAGCAGGGTGCTACAATATTTTTAAAAACATTAATATGCAACAGCAAATAAAAAACATTAGGAAGAACATCAACAATATACAATCAAAATGTAACAGATCTTCTAAAAATCTTTTTAAAAATCACATTCCAGATACAGGCTAAACATGGCCAATTGGATGAACCAGCTGCAAAAATTTAGCAGAGGAGCTTGTTAGACCTTTCAGAGAAGGGAGCTACAAAGCTTTGGAAATGCTGCTTGGAAGACCCCACTCATACACCTCCTGTAATGGCACAGGAATTACTGTTTTTCTTAAAACCAAGGAAGACTCATACAATAGTAGGCATTTGAGCAAAGCTTGGTGAATAATTCAAGATTATTTTGCCCCGGATGAAATTAGTATCTTTGCAATGTGGTGATTTCCAGAATTGTATTGCATGAGACATTTATACATGAGACATCTTGTTCAACATTCTGGTAACAGCTGCACTATTTGAACCTTGGCCCTGTGGTTTCATATCCCTAGAACAGATTGGTGCTCTTTTATGTTCCATTTCATTAGCAGATACAACAACATGTACCAACAAATTGACAGAGTAATTAATTATAAGAAATACTTACAGTTGCATGACCAAATACAAGTGGTTTGGACTCTCATAGATGTCTTCCAGTGCAACAATATTTTCATGCTTGATTCTGAAAATCATATAAAAACCAATATCCAATGAAAATTCATCTAAACAATAAGAATAAAATCCAGGTTTACAAAATAATCTCAGGGTAAGTTAAGAAAATTAGAGTCAATGACCTTATTCACACATCAAAATAATTCATGGAACTGGTGGGGAATATGGTAACGAGTGAACGCCCTGAGTCTCATTGTCTGCTTTCAGTCAACTGAAATCGACAACCCAGGAATGTTCCATTCCTGGATTGTTATTGTAATAACTGAATCTGGACATCTGGGTTGTTTAGGGATTAAACAACACAGAATTTAACTCAGTAAAACAACATATCCCTGGTCAGACATAATGGTGGAATTTGGAAATTATTTGTGGATTAATATATTGTGGGTACACACCAAAAAACAAGCCATGCAATAACTCATGGTTGTTTATGCCACTATTAATTCCAAATGTATAAGTTCAGGCATCACAGAAATAGCTTACAAAAGCCACAACATGTTGGGTTAAAGTGCATTTCACATCTTTAAGCACACACCTATCCACATTTTACATTATATACATAAACTATTCTCTGCAACATACAGTCATGAGTAGAGGAAATTAAGCAATTTAAAGTCATTCAAGTAAACTAGCCTCTATTCTCATTTTCTTAATACAGCAATTACATTTTAAGACAATTTAACAACTGGAACGAACACATGGATTCTAGGTCACCACTAGCACAGAACTACAAGTTACAGGGTCCTTGCTGGTTAGGTGATTTTTTTAAAGAAAGGCACACCTTTTTTAAGAAAGGCACACCCTAAGAAAGGCACTACTTTAGCTATTCTAAACAATTTCCAGTTGCACAATTAATTTGCATTAACCCCAAAGTGAGTAACTATTTGCCTGTAAGGAACATAATATTAATTAAGACAAGGTGGAGATAGTGCCTAAGAGAAGAAAAGATAATGAAGTATAGAAGTTAACACGGGGCAGGTCTACATTAAAAAGGTAAAATTGGATTGAATTTTGGATTGAAACAGTGAATCCAACACTTTGTTAAGTCAAGCTGAAAGTAATTAAGGTTTCAGGATAGGATGACCTGGCCATTTTGTGAAAATCACACTCATTCTATGTTTCAGGGTAAGCATGCAAACAGAAGAGGGTGAAACAAATAATTGCATAGTAACATCCACTGCGTAATTTTTTCGGATGACATCATTTAGATATATCCACAACATTCTTTAAGTTCCTAGGGAGGAGTACTGAAGCCACATAATACAAAATGCACAGGCACACATAATCTTCCTCAGGTTAGCCTCACCTGCCATGGGCTGGTGCTCATAATCCATAAATTACATGTATTATTTACTCTAATTTTACTCTATTATGATTCTGTAATGCACAAAACATTTGTCATGTGTAATAATTTGAGTCATAACCTGAAGAGCAGTATTAACAGGTTTAAATACCTGGCTCACTCTTGGTGAAAGCAAGTGTTCTTTGAAGAAATTTTATTACATTTATAAATAACTTCTCTCAACCAAATGCAGAAACCACAAAGCAATTTACAGGAAAAGAAGGAAGAGGAAGAAAAGAAAGGAAAATACAAGGAATACAATATATTACACCATACTCATTAAAATTATACAAAGTTACTATGCATGTCCATTGCAAAGATCATCTAAAGCATGGGTCCTCAAACTATGGCCTCTGGGCTGGATCTGGCCTGCTATGCCCATTTATCCGGCCCGCCATAGAGGTTTTGGACTCACCACATGCGTGCATGGCAAGGCAGCAGCTTGCTTGTGTGGAGATCCTTTTGGACTCGCTCGGAGAAAAGGATCTCTGCACAAGCAAGCTACCGCTTCTCCTTGCCTCACCCAGCGGCAGCTTGTTCGCGCAGAGATAGTTTTGGACTCACTTGGAGAAAACAATCTCCGTGTGCGCCCGCCTCACCGCATGCACGCATGTGTGACTCCACCCCGTGCCTCCTGTCCGCACCACCTTGGTGGCCCACGCCCCCCACCCGCACCGCCTTAGCGACCAACACCCATCGCCGGCATCTTTCAACTGGCCCCGTGTTGAAAAAGTTTGAGGACCCCTGATCTAAAGTCACCCTTCATCTAGCATAAGAATGAACAACAAAACAACCACTGTAGTTGGACCCTTAACACTACAGAAATACCCCAGAGAAGAGAATCTTCTTTCCCTGGCAGAAAAGAATGACAGAGTTGACACCAGTTGAACTTGCCTGGGGAAGCCATTCCAGCCTGGAGGGGCTACCACAGAAAAAAAGCTCATTTTCACATGTTCTTTAAAATACTGTAGTCCCAAATTCTAAGTTGAAATTAGAACTTTGTACTGGACTCAGAAACAAACTGGCAACCAGGCAGACCAGAAGGAGCTAAATATCCAGAACATCTAGTTCCAGTTCATTGTCTGGCTGTTGCATTTTGCATTAGCTGTAATTAGGGATGTGTGTGGAACCAGTTTGGGGGTGGAAATCCATTGGATTCCCTGGGCCCAGCTCCCTGGACTTTGGGTCACTTTGCAGTCCAAGTTTCTGGCGAGCACACCTACTATTCCTGGGATTCTTACCAGGAACTGAGCCTCATGCACTGCACAAGCAGCTTTCCTCTTCTGTGCCACATGCAGGCACCATTTAGGCTGCTGCATCTGATATGGAAGAAAGCTGATCATGTGGGGCTCACCAGGAATGGCACTCCATGCGACTACTAGGAGCCTCCCTCTTCTGCACCATGTACAGCTGACATTTGGGCTGCTGCAGCTGATTCAGAAGAAGGTTATTGGTTGTGCAACCTTCATTCAATGCGGACTGGCAGACTTCCTCTTGGCTTGGCTCACTTTGCAAGACTGGGCCAAGCATGAGAGAAATTCCATGAATGTGGGAGGGAGGGATACTGTTAGTGTTCATCTTGACCCCAGGTGTAATCTGTGTTGGGAGCTGAGTTCCCCCCTTCTTCCTTTCAATGGACAGGCATGTTTGGGTTTTGTTTTTGGCAAAAAGCACTTTATTTCCAACATACAGCCAGCAAACTAACAGCCAACAAAGTAAGTCTCTGAGCATGCACAAAGCAGTTTGTTGAACCCAAACGCAAAACTATTTTGGAGAACCCTTCTTTTCAGCAACCCTAGGCTGCATCCCTCTGGGTGTGCCCCCCTGGAGAAGAGCTAGCCTCCTAGAGCTATGAAGGCCGTCTAATTGGCTAGCCCTTCTCTCCCAACACTGCATCACAGGGTCAATGACCAGGCCAGGATCATCTTGCTCCTCTCCCTGCACTTCCAAACTCTGTTGGTCCTCAAGGTCTACCTGAACACCTGGAGCTGGCAGCCTTGATAAAAGCTCTAATTTCTCCACCATCTCTATGTCCACAGATCTCTTTTCCCAGCCTTCACAATTCTCATCCAAAGAGTCGGTGCCATCTTGGTGCTGGAAAGCATGCCAAGAATAACCGCCTCCTTCATTTCCAGAAGTGCCATCAGAGGTAGCACATTGTAATCACTACCAAGGCACATGTCACTGAAGCCAAGCTATCTCCATTTTGATAGGGGTACATCTAGGCATTCCAGCTGAAGCTGATAGAAAGCACTCTAAGACATAAGATCTCTTGTACATCCAGTTACAATTATCAGTCCAAAAATACAATGAAGCTATGTACATATTTCTTCAGAGGCAATGTCATCCCATCTAAAACTGATTGCATACCAGCCATCTAGTTTGGCAGGCAACCTATTATCAATGTCTCTTATGTGAATTGAACTTCAGTTTGCTGGTTCTCATCTAATGTCTTACAAAGACCAGGTTGAACACATCCAGCACTGTATCTACTTGCAATGTAAAGAGGAAACAGAGTGTATGGATTACACAAATGACACTCCAAAATTAATAAGACCATACTTGGGTTTGTGCAAATATTAAATAGAATGGAGGATAAGACTGAACCTATAGAGCCCAACACTGAATAGGGGTGACCAATACCTTGCAGGTACCACCTTCTGAAGCAGTGTAAAGCAGTGTCTACTCCCAACTCAGACAGCCATTCTTAAAGGATAACACGAGCAATGGTAATGGAAGGCTGATGAGATAAAGGAATGTCAACAGGGACAAAGGTCAAAGATTATCATGCACAGTAACCAACATTAGTTTCAGTTACAGTCTGAATCCTAGCTGAAATGCATGCAGAAAAGTCCATTTCATCCAAGAGTTCCTAGAGCTGATCAGTGACCATCCATTGTAATGTATTGATCTTTTTGGCATGTTGCAAGAGCTCAGCCTTAATTGGGCTCATTACATTCCACATTGTGACATTTGTTGTTTGTTGTTTTAATTCCTCATGGTTATCTTATCTTTTGAAGACATAACAGAAGGGAGGAGGAAGGGAACATCTACAACTGACATGAAATTATTAAGATATTCTGGTTCTGGAGAGACTTTCTTACCACCACCTCTGAGGCAGCCTGGGATACTCCCTCCCCTCAAGGAGCTGTTAGATACTCCCCTGGCCCAATCTGCCATTCCTTTCTTACTAGATTTTAACAGACTTGGAAGGCAAAAGTCAGGAATGTGAATACTATCTTCAAACTTATCTACTAAAAATAAGTAGACCAAACGAGCTCTGGGAATCTATTGATTTGTTACTGTCACGGTCCCAGCAAACTGAAGTGGCTTTGTCCTCAAAATACAGATGCTTATTTCAAAGAAGGATTAATGGTGACCTGCTTGAAACACTGAAACCTAGGATGGGGATGGGGTGTGGGAAAATAGGGTAAGAAATGTATTGTTTCTTAACTATTAATGAATCATGTTCCCAGCTACAGTACAAAGCACAGTCCTAGAAGCATCTCATATTTTATATATCCAAGTCTCATATGTAATTCACACATAGTGACTCATGTTTTTCTAAGTTGCATCTCATTCATTTAAGGTATTTAGAATGAAAGGGAGTTATTAAAGAAAATAAATAAATAAGAATAAAATAAATAAGACCAGTACATGCAGCAGCA